GTATGAGGGTATTATTTGAACCGCAAGTTCACATCTATGAAAGAACTGCTAACATTTTTACTTTTTTTCCTTATCAAAGTTGACAGCTTTTCACACTCCAACCTAGACTGCCTAAAAAAACAGAAAACAACTCAGCTGTCAGTGACATGTTGACTACGGGGAGATCACGGTTTCAGCACATCCTCATTGCTGTGTGTGCTAAATGGGCAGTGATTATTTTTTTAAACTTAGACTATGAGAGATTAATTATATGATGAGTGGATGAAGATTCATGGGGATGTAGATCGTTGTCGGGAACACTGACTGTTCTTCCTTTCTGGGTTGTTGTTGCGTGCCTTTCTCTCTCTCTTTCTCTCTCCAAAGGGGGAATAATTAGAGAGGGGACGAGATATTGAATTTTTAATTTGCCATACCCTGAGAATAGAGTGACCTACTATGCTGGAAGTTATTGGGAGTAATTCCAGTCCCATTAAGAATTCTCCTGGTATGTTAATGGAGGTTGATGAAGTGACCAAGAATCCATAGTCATTTAGCACAGGGGGCCAAAAAACTGTGGAAGAGCAACAAAAACATCCAGTTAGAGTCCCCCCACTGAGCAAAGAGGAGGCTTTGTTTTAAAAAGGATAAATATGTGACAATACTGCATGGGCTACACATCAAAAATATTCCATAAAGATCTCAATAAATGTTGTGACTATTCCCATAAGTGCAGGGAGAGTGAGAGTGGAGCAGCTTCAAAGTCTAAACTCTGTTTAGCAGTCTGCAGGTAACCAGGCTCACAAATTATTGCACCAAACTGCTTTTCTCAAGTGTTGTCTTCTTCCTGATGCAGCTGAAAAAGCCGGGGAAGTTTTATGTTTATCTTAGCTGTTCATCTTGATATGTGTCTCCAGGTGCTTTGAAGTGGGTACTTACCTCCTGAAAGCTGCGGCCCATTCTCATCTTAATGAACAAATCACCCAGTAAAATATGTTAGACACCCTATTGATGAAATGGAAATGGGAATGCTGACCCAGCAGCATCGTTCAAGTACTGACATCAATTACCAATTCGGGTCTCGTGTCTTCCTTATCACTGCAGCAACGCTGATAACTCAGGAAGACTAATTAATTTTCATTTAGCACTTTTTTTATTTTTCATTTTTCAGAATATCTCTGCCTGTCTGTAATTTTTTAAAGTGCTGTATTTATGGAAACGTGCTCTACAGGAAATGTTACAGAAAAAAGAAAGACAGTTATGAATGACAGGAAAGTCTTGACATGCAACTATTTTTATGATTTCTCATTTTTGTGATTTCTATCAACATTTTTATTTGTTCATACTCTTTCTATACTTGATGTTAAAGAAGTCTTTAAATGTTTTTTTTCAGGCTTTTTATGGCTTTTATTTTGAAATGACAGGACATTGGATGAAGCAGAAAATAGATAGAGAGAGCAGGAAGTCACATGCATTGAAGGGTGTGCAGATTAGAACTGAACCTGGGCCATCTGTTTGAGGATCACCATGTTGGGCTTAAAACAGATCCACGTCGCGTCCTTCTCTTCTTTGACTTGATTTTGCATCCTGCTCATTGTTGCTATCTCATCAGTAAGGAAGTGGCTGTCCTAGAGGTCGCTAGATGACGCCATTGCCCAAGTTGCATGATTTTACAGAATAATTTTAATCTTCCGTTCTTTCTCAGGGTCCTCAGGTTGTTTGTGTGTGTGTGTGTGTGTGTGTGTGTGTGTGTGTGTGTGTGTGTGTGTGTGTGTGTGTGTTTACTTTTGACGCACCCGTTGAGATTGATACCTGCTTTCACGTCAGAGTCTGCAAACTCCAGAAAAAGTCAGTAGATGCTGGTGCTTTAAGAAAGAAAAAAAAGTTGCTAGAGGGGTCTGAAAAGCCACTAGCAACAGCTAGGTACAAAGTATCTAGGTTGGCACCACTGGTTGTGTTCTATCAACTCAATTGGTCAACAGACCAAAACCCAGATGGCAGTCTCTCTCTAACATCGCTGACAACACACATCACATTATTTTACTAAAATTGGTTCATAAGTCATCATAGATTCCCATTAATTTTTAAGGGAATGGATCTGGAAACTCTCAGAAAAAAAAACAAAACACTGATCTTGTTTACAACAGCATCAACTCATGACTACCAAGACAAAGGATTTTCTGTGATGATAACAAAAGTAGCTTTTTTTTTTTTTTTTTTTTCCACTCATTCATGTTTCAGTGGTCCATGAAAAACCTCTGACCTGCTGAATACAGGTCTGGCTCCATTCGCTATGATGGTTTGGTTATTCAGTGAGTGAGAAACCTCTAGATGCCGGTGGAATCTAAACACTACTCCTCAAGTTACATTGAAAGAAACATAAGTGCTTGCCTCCAGGGTGAGAAATCAAGAAAATACATGCATGCCAAAACCTGCTGTCCTATAAATAGCTGCATGAGCCTGGCTCAAAAGCCACTCAATCCTCATGAGGGCTTTACGGGAATTTAAATTCAAATACTTGACAAATCATATTACGTTCTGTGTGGTCTATTGATCTAGCCAATCAATCAAGAACTCTGCGCTCCAGCATTTTTAGAAGATCAGTATTGTATTGTTGTTTTTGTAGTCCATTATTATTGGCTTTTCCTGCAGAGACTGCAGTGGAAGGGGATTATTAACAAATATTTTGTCATTTGAAAGGAGTCCAATTAAGCAATCAATACTTACAATACTTAACCCTTTGATGCGCAACATATGCACACCCCCTCTAATGCGCAACATGGGTCTAAAAAGACCCGCATTCATTTCCAAAGGTATTTCATGCTGGCTGAGTTTTTCTTTGTTCTATCTTTTGAAATCACTTTATTTTCTGATTGAATATTCCAAGTATTCTTTAGGTATCTTGTTTTTGATCACCACTGATCATTATTTCTATTTTTCTTTTCATACTTTATGAAATAATATAGTTTCTATATTATTACATCAAGTTTACACACATGGGTCAAAAATGACCCATTCATCCAAGTGTGATTTAATATTAAATTACCTAACACTATAATCATAATTTGTTTCAAGTAATGAAATTAGCAGTGAGTGGGGCCAAACCATAGACTGTATATACTATAGACAACTTGGTTCCACCTCCCGCCTGTATACGGATTTGGAGCCAAAAAGCTCTTGATATTTCCGGGATTTTTCTTCATTTCTGAAACCAGAGCTGCGCAGTTGCGATGCGTGCATTCGGCCGCGCAGTCACTGAGAGTCGCTGTGATGACGCTCGGCTCAAACAGCGTATCCCCCCGGGAGAGCTACACAATCCCTGAACGCCCATAGGCTGTATCCATAGACTGTATGTACTATGGACAACTTGGTTCCACCTCCCGCCTGTATTCAGATTTGGAGCCAAATAGCTCTCGATATTTCCAGGATTTTTCTTCATTTCCTGAAACCAGCGCTGCACAGTAGCAATGCGCGCATTCGGCCGCGCAGTTGCAGAGAGTCGCTGTGATGACGCTCGGCTCAAACAGGATATCCTCCGGGTGAGCTACGCAATCCCTGAACGCCCATAGGCTGTATCAGGTGTCAATCATAGAAAACATGAACCCCCTAATAACTTTTAAAAACGGAGCTGTACAGACAAAAGAGGACTTTAGCACAAATCAGTCTTACAATAACTACATGTCAACATCACAAGCAGGGGGGAGAAAAATGTATGTACTGCGTAATCAATTTCCAAAGTTTGTCCACAGCCCCATAAGCTTTGCTGGTGGAGGCGGGATTTATGACCTATACTGCAGCCTGTAAACAGGGGGTGCTGTTCTCGAAGTGGCTTCACCCAGCAAGGAGGCAGACGCTGTCCATTCTGTATACAGTCTATGGGCCAAACACTTATGTATTTTGTATTAGCAACATGTTTATTTGTCATTTTGTCACATACACATGTGTCTGATTATAGCTAGCTGAAATAAAGGTAGCTGTTTTACCTGTAACTTTGTAACTTTCCAACATGTAATGTCCTCACTCTCAAGGTAACCTAAACCTAATCAAATCTTTGTACAATTATCTTTCACAATTGTCATCAAATAATTTAATTAAAGATAATGTCAGAACAATTGAAAAACCATACTTACATGTATTAGACGGTCTTTTCATGCTAAATGCTACTGTCACTATATGTGGGTCATTTCTGACCCATGTATGTAAACTTGATGTAGAAATACAAAATCTGTGCTTCCTCATAACATAAGAAAGGAAAAATAAAAATGATTATTTGTGCTCAACTAAAACAAGATCTTTACTGCATACTTGGAATAGTAAATGATAAAATTAATTTATGTCAAAGATATACCATAGAAACACTCAGCCATACATGAAATAACATTGAAAATGGATAAGGGTCATTTTAGACCCATGTTGTGCATTGGAGGGGTAGTGATACAAAAACGGTTTTTATTCTAAAAGTAAAAAAAGAAAAATTAACATAAGGATGTAGGGTCGTCAAAAACAAGTTAATTGAGGAATTCCTTGAGTACCGACTGATGGAATTCATTTATTGAAAAGATATATAAAATTTAAACTCATCCGGGTCTTTTTTGACCCATGTTGCGCATCAAAGGGTTAAATTCTTACAATGCTTATACTTGTTTACAGTGTTACAATGTCCATTCTAAATCACGGTGAATTTCATTATATAGGACACACAGATGGTGGTGTAACCCTCAGATGTGTTTTTAAGGTTCTGCGGACAACTCATTGAGACATAGCTGCAGATGACTTTTTTGTCAAAAAAGGCCAGTATAAGCTGGACTGGTATGTCATTTGTTACCAAAACCTGGGGCTGTTCCATCTATAAATACAAGATGTCATTTCTGTGCTACAAAACTGTGTGAAAAGTAACACTCAGATGCTCTCTACCTTTATATAAGTGGAAAAGCAGCCAGTATGAAGCATTGAAGGCAGAGGCTGAGCAGTGCTGAAATACAGGTTTTCAGAGGCACCAGCATGAGGATGAATAAGGAGTGGTTTTCTTTTCTCTTTTTTTTTTTTGTAGCAGAAACTCATGCAAAGCTACTCGGTAGGTGCTTCAGACTGACATTATGAAAGGTGAAAACGAGTGCAAACAATCTTCCTTAAATTACCCAGTAATTTGTATGCTCAGTCAATGAAGGGGTGTTGAAAATTCCGAAAATGTGCTTCATGACAGTCTGCCACCAGTGTTGGGAATTTAAGCTTTAAAGGTTAGAAATAGTTTTACAAGATTACTGCCATTAAAAAGTAATTTACTATGTTGATGTGTTACAAAGAAACAAAAGTAGTGGGTTAGTAAGAGTACTTTTTGGTTACCAAAAGCCAAGGTCGTATTGCTGCACTGTACAAGCCGGGCACTGACCCAATACAAAACCTAGTTGTCGTTGTTTTAAAGCCATACCACTGACCATCTTTGACCACCATGACCATAGTTATGTCAATGATCCAATTCTTGTCTGGTGCTTGTAAACAGGGACAGGGCAGTCGTCCAGTTGAAACTACTAATGGCTATAACCATAGATTCATTTACCTGAATATGTAAACACTCTGACTCTAATGCTGTTCCTTTTGCCCAGAAAACCTCTAAATGATGTTGTTGAATCAGCTAGGTGTGCATGTGGACAGATACAACTGTAGCTACCTGTCTTAAGGTATGAAAGAAACAGAAGCAACGCAAACGCTAAAAGGATTTTTCTTGCTTGAGTAACACCCGATGAGAACTAACGCATTAGGTCAAATGTTTCAGCAAAAAGTAATATGAACACGCTATAGATGTTACCTCCAGCACTGACAGCCATAAGTTTTAGTTTTCAGCTTTGATACTCAATATAGCTCAGACCCTCAGTCTTCCCCATCTCATCCTCTTGTTCAATGTAATGACCTCCATAAAACCAACGTGGTTGTGGATGAATGCCAAACTACAGGGTTCAAAAGGCAGTAACCAGGGTGATGTCATGGTAGCTAGAGCCATTACTTTATGAAAGTTCAAAATGTAATTGTAACTAGTTAAAAGTCAGCTTATTAGGATGATCAACTGTAACCTGACCTACAGCACATTTGCATGAGATATCTCAGCACGAGTTTTTCATGTAATAACTTTTACTCTAGAAAAGTCTTAACCCTGATTAATTCTTAGAGAAGCAGACCAGAGGCATGACTAAATTCAATAACTGGCAATATGCTTACAATATGAAGATGTGATTTATTTTATTTATTTTTTTCATCTGTGAATAAACTGTCTGAACTGTGTTATTCATTTTCATTCATTTTCATTGTGATAGCTTCATGCAAGCCATCACTTAAGTTATTAAAGGAACAAAGGATATAGGCAGGTCCATGTGGGCTGTCACAAGGTATAATATGGATTACTATGGTGAATCATGGGGGCTATGTCAAAGTGGGGTCACATACTTTGAGATATATTCAAAGATATCATAAGGAATGATGGTTGAATGTTGTTCAGACTGAAATGTTGCCTTTTTCCCCTAATCATAGGGCAGAACACAATCATTTCAATATCAAGTGGTCATATGTGCAGCTGTTTCTACAGTCATGGTCTGCAGGAGTGATGTACGGCCACTGTTACAAGTAAGCAAAACTCAATGCCAATATTAGACATTTAAAATACAATTTAATTTGTTTATGAATGTTAACATAACCGAAGCTCACCATGAGGTATGCATGTACAGTGTGAGGTACTTTAGCACAGTTGGAACGATATTCACAGATTCAGTGTTCCCAGGTCAATCGAACCATCAATGGAACATTGTTGTAAGAAAACTAATTCCTCTTTTTAACCCTAACCCTAACTAACCCTAGCCCCAACCCTAACCCTAACCCTAGCTCTAACCCTAACCCTAACCCTAGCTCCAACCCTAACCCTAACCCTAACCCTAGCTCCAACCCTAACCCTAACCCTAACCCTAGCTCCAACCTTAACCCTAACCCTAACCCTAGCTCCAACCCTAACCCTAACCCTAACCCATGCATTCCTATGGGAAAAAAATCAATTTTTTTTAGGAACGTCCTAGAGACTCGGGAGTTGGTTCATTGCACTCAGAAAAATCCTAGCTCCAAGCCCAACCCTAACCCTAGCTCCAACACTAACCCTAACTCCAACCCTAACCCTAACCCTAGCTCCAACCCTAACCCTAACCCTAACCCATGCATTCCTATGGGAAAAAATCAAATTTTTTTAGGAACGTCCTAGAGACTCGGGAGTTGGTTCATTGCACTCAGAAAAATCCTAGCTCCAAGCCCAACCCTAACCCTAGCTCCAACACTAACCCTAACTCCAACCCTAACCCTAACCCTAGCTCCAACCCTAACCCTAACCCTAACCCATGCATTCCTATGTGATAAAATCAAATTTTTTTTAGGAACGTCCTAGAGACTCGGGAGTTGGTTCATTGCACTCAGAAAAATCCTAGCTCCAAGCCTAACCCTAGCTCCAACACTAACCCTAACTCCAACCCTAACCCTAGCTCCAACCCTAACCCTAACCCTAACCCATGCATTCCTATGGGAAAAAATCAAATTTTTTTAGGAACGTCCTAGAGACTCGGGAGTTGGTTCATTGCACTCAGAAAAATCCTAGCTCCAAGCCCTACCCTAACCCTAGCTCCAACACTAACCCTAACTCCAACCCTAACCCTAACCCTAGCTCCAACCCTAACCCTAACCCTAACCCATGCATTCCTATGGGAAAAAATCAAATTTTTTTAGGAACGTCCTAGAGACTCGGGAGTTGGTTCATTGCACTCAGAAAAATCCTAGCTCCAAGCCCAACCCTAACCCTAGCTCCAACACTAACCCTAACTCCAACCCTAACCCTAACCCTAACCCTAGCTCCAACCCTAACCCTAACCCTAACCCATGCATTCCTATGGGAAAAAATCAAATTTTTTTAGGAACGTCCTAGAGACTCTGGAGTTGGTTCATTGCACTCAGAAAAATCCTAGCTCCAAGCCCAACCCTAACCCTAGCTCCAACACTAACCCTAACTCCAACCCTAACCCTAACCCTAGCTCCAACCCTAACCCTAACCCTAACCCATGCATTCCTATGGGAAAAAATCAAATTTTTTTAGGAACGTCCTAGAGACTCGGGAGTTGGTTCATTGCACTCAGAAAAATCCTAGCTCCAAGCCCAACCCTAACCCTAGCTCCAACACTAACCCTAACTCCAACCCAAACCCTAACCCTAACCCTAGCTCCAACCCTAACCCTAACCCTAACCCATGCATTCCTATGGGAAAAAATCAAATTTTTTTAGGAATGTCCTAGAGACTCGGGAGTTGGTTCATTGCACTCAGAAAAATCCTAGCTCCAAGCCCAACCCTAACCCTAGCTCCAACACTAACCCTAACTCCAACCCTAACCCTAACCCTAGCTCCAACCCTAACCCTAACCCTAACCCATGCATTCCTATGGGAAAAAATCAAATTTTTTTAGGAACGTCCTAGAGACTCGGGAGTTGGTTCATTGCACTCAGAAAAATCCTAGCTCCAAGCCCAACCCTAACCCTAGCTCCAACACTAACCCTAACTCCAACCCTAACCCTAACCCTAACCCTAGCTCCAACCCTAACCCTAACCCTAACCCATGCATTCCTATGGGAAAAAATCAATTTTTTTTAGGAACGTCCTAGAGACTCTGGAGTTGGTTCATTGCACTCAGAAAAATCCTAGCTCCAAGCCCAACCCTAACCCTAGCTCCAACACTAACCCTAACTCCAACCCTAACCCTAACCCTAGCTCCAACCCTAACCCTAACCCTAACCCATGCATTCCTATGGGAAAAAATCAAATTTTTTTAGGAACGTCCTAGAGACTCGGGAGTTGGTTCATTGCACTCAGAAAAATCCTAGCTCCAAGCCCAACCCTAACCCTAGCTCCAACACTAACCCTAACTCCAACCCAAACCCTAACCCTAACCCTAGCTCCAACCCTAACCCTAACCCTAACCCATGCATTCCTATGGGAAAAAATCTAATTTTTTTAGGAACGTCCAAGAGACTCGGGAGTTGGTTCATTGCACTCAGAAAAATCCTAGCTCCAAGCCCAACCCTAACCCTAGCTCCAACACTAACCCTAACTCCAACCCTAACCCTAACCCTAACCCTAGCTCCAACCCTAACCCTAACCCTAACCCATGCATTCCTATGGGAAAAAATCAAATTTTTTTAGGAACGTCCTAGAGACTCGGGAGTTGGTTCATTGCACTCAGAAAAATCCTAGCTCCAAGCCCAACCCTAACCCTAGCTCCAACACTAACCCTCACTCCAACCCTAACCCTAGCTCCAACCCTAACCCTAACCCTAACCCATGCATTCCTATGGGAAAAAATCAATTTTTTTTAGGAACGTCCTAGAGACTCGGGAGTTGGTTCATTGCACTCAGAAAAATCCTAGCTCCAAGCCCAACCCTAACCCTAGCTCCAACACTAACCCTAACTCCAACCCTAACCCTAACCCTAACCCTAGCTCCAACCCTAACCCTAACCCTAACCCATGCATTCCTATGGGAAAAAATCAAATTTTTTTTAGGAACGTCCTAGAGACTCGGGAGTTGGTTCATTGCACTCAGAAAAATCCTAGCTCCAAGCCTAACCCTAGCTCCAACACTAACCCTAACTCCAACCCTAACCCTAACCCTAACCCTAGCTCCAACCCTAACCCTAACCCTAACCCATGCATTCCTATGGGAAAAAATCAAATTTTTTTAGGAACGTCCTAGAGACTCGGGAGTTGGTTCATTGCACTCAGAAAAATCCTAGCTCCAAGCCCAACCCTAACCCTAGCTCCAACACTAACCCTAACTCCAACCCTAACCCTAACCCTAGCTCCAACACTAACCCTAACTCCAACCCTAACCCTAACCCTAGCTCCAACCCTAACCCTAACCCTAACCCATGCATTCCTATGGGAAAAAATCAAATTTTTTTAGGAACGTCCTAGAGACTTGGGAGTTGGTTCATTGCACTCAGAAAAATCCTAGCTCCAAGCCCAACCCTAACCCTAGCTCCAACACTAACCCTAACTCCAACCCTAACCCTAACCCTAACCCTAGCTCCAACACTAACCCTAACTCTAACCCTAGCTCCAACACTAACCCTAACTCCAACCCTAACCATAACGCTAACCCTAGCTCCAACCCTAACCCTAACCCTAACCCATGCATTCCTATGGGAAAAAATCAAATTTTTTTAGGAACGTCCTAGAGACTCGGGAGTTGGTTCATTGCACTCAGAAAAATCCTAGCTCCAAGCCCAACCCTAACCCTAGCTCCAACACTAACCCTAACTCCAACCCTAACCCTAACCCTAGCTCCAACACTAACCCTAACTCCAACCCTAACCCTAACCCTAGCTCCAACCCTAACCCTAACCCTAACCCATGCATTCCTATGGGAAAAAATCAAATTTTTTTAGGAACGTCCTAGAGACTCGGGAGTTGGTTCATTGCACTCAGAAAAATCCTAGCTCCAAGCCCAACCCTAACCCTAGCTCCAACACTAACCCTAACTCCAACCCTAACCCTAACCCTAGCTCCAACACTAACCCTAACTCCAACCCTAACCCTAACCCTAGCTCCAACCCTAACCCTAACCCTAACCCATGCATTCCTATGGGAAAAAATCAAATTTTTTTAGGAACGTCCTAGAGACTTGGGAGTTGGTTCATTGCACTCAGAAAAATCCTAGCTCCAAGCCCAACCCTAACCCTAGCTCCAACACTAACCCTAACTCCAACCCTAACCCTAACCCTAACCCTAGCTCCAACACTAACCCTAACTCCAACCCTAACCCTAACCCTAGCTCCAACCCCACACCTAACCCTAACCCTAGCTCCAACCTTAAGCATAGTTACATCTGCTTTTTTTTTTTATTTATTTATTTTTTTTATTTCGAACATTATTTAATCAAATAAGACAATAAAATACAAATCAGGAAGAAACCAACAACAACAATGTCCGAAAAGGAGTAGGATGAAGTTTAAAACTTATCGAGCTCCTACCCCCCTTTTGCCAACACAAATTTCTTTACTGCATATACAATAGTTTAAATGACTGCAGTAGTATCAGGGATAAAATTATTCAGACCAACCCATTGAAAACTGAAAACAGGGCTGTGTTGACTCAATAGGTCAACACAGCCCCTCCTCATCTGAATACCTCTTGAAAATAATATTTTTATATGCCTTCTTGTAATTATTCAGGTTTGGACTTAGCTGAACCTCCATGCTCAGTCAATTCCACAAACTCACTCCACAAACTGAAATGCACATCGTTTTCAATGTTGAACCAGCAAAATGTACCTTGAAATTAAGCTCTCGTCTCAAATTGTAACCCCCCTCTTTATCACTGAACATCTTTTGTATATTACCTGCCAAAAGCCTGTGTCCTCAGCATCCCCACCATTACACGTGGCCTTTATTTCCTCAGCCAAGTTTGGTCCTACATTTACAAAGAATTTGTTAAAGCCAGTAACCACATCATTCATGTTACTTAAGGAAGTATCATTGTCAATAAAATATTCAGGGTATCTCCTATTATTTGAGCCATTTCTGATAATACCATTTAATATTTTCCATACACCTTTAATATTGTTTTTACTAGTCTCTAATAATTTGGCATAATATTCTTTTTTGCATGTCCTCATAATATTAATTAATTTATTTTTATATTTCTTATATTTATGTTCAGCCTCTGCAGTTCTTTGCCTTAAAAATTGTTTATAGAGGGTGTTCTTTTTTTTACAAGCATTACGCAAACCTTTTGTGATCCATGGGCTGCCAATATGTTTTTTCCTGACATTTTATCTCTAGTATAACTCACATTGGCTTCAATATGCAGCTGGCTGTGTCTGAGATGCATGAGGACTGACTACAAACTGACTACAAACTACAAACATTTCTGTATTAATCGCCTCATCCCATGGTGATTTTCAAGGCTGGGAATGGATAAAATCATATGAGTTACATATATTGGATTACATTTTTCCAAACAACTATGCTTAAACAGCCAGTCAAACAAAAGCTTTCAGGGTAAGGATGGGTTGTGACACATTTCTTTAATGTGTTGCAACAATCCTCTTAATCCCATTATATTTTATTGGTTATAATATTTTTCCAGTATTTGTCGGCAGTAGAAAGACTGAAAGACAGACCAGGGAGTGCCTGCTAATATCACTGTCAATAAAAGATTATGCTACTTACAGGGGGAGCTTAGATAAAAGTTAAGGGTGCACAAGAAACCCCTAAGTGCCTCTGATTTTTATGAGTTATTTGATGTTTTTGCAAAGGTACAACAGCATGGTAGGCATAAAATGTGCTATTATATTTTTTTAATTGACATATTCTTTATGTTAAAACTTCTTTTTCATAATTATGTTAAAACTTCTTTTTCATAATGTTGCAGGTCTACTCTGAAGGACGCACTGCCTGGACATGGAATTCCCAACCTAAACTCAATGATGGTATGCAGGTGGGGGATCTCATGCTTGAAGTCAACAAACTGCTTTCAGGGAACAGTTTCGCCAATGTACAACCACTGTTCAAATACACAAACATGGGGAGTGTAGCAAGAAACACATTTTTAGAAGCCAAAATTCCTACAGTGTGGATTCCTTAAAAGAGTTTTTAAAGGAAAAGAAGGCAGCAACAATCCAGCAGTTGTGCACAAAAGATAGTGTACTGGTCCTCAGTGAGGACACAGTGTCCTCACATGTTTAGTCTAAAACTTTGATTTTTGAAACCATCATCAAGTAGTCCTCATGATGTCTTTTTTTTTCTTTGGTTGAGTTATTTCAGGAGATGGAAGAATGGAAAGCCCTGGTCACTGTGCAGAGTACTGCATCTATACAGCCATGGACAATGACAGCAATGACATCACTAATATCATCATAGCTGACAAAAGATAAAGTCCAAGGAAGTCTGTCCTAACAGAGAAAAAAATAGGCCTTTTTTAGGACAATAGATCAAATGAGTGAGGTCATCCTCAAAGAAGTGTGTACTGATATACATGTACAAATCTCAACACTTATGAGGAAGTAAAATGTTCAACAAATGTTTTTTCATTGATAAATGTACTCCAATTGAAGTTTTCTTTTCTCTGAAACAGGCAAGGGTAAAAACAAGGATGCTGGCGTGTATCACAGTCTGGACAAGTGGCATGGTGCCAAGAGTCAAGCAAAGAAGATTGTGACAGTAAGACAACAGGGCATACATACATAGTGTATTGAACACCAAAATGGGTCCTTTCGTCTGAATACTTTTATTAAAAAATGATATGTTTGGCTGCTGCAGGCCAGGCAGCAGTGTGGCATAACATTCTCCTCCCAAAGACCAGGGACATAGTGAACCACTTTTGGTGGTGCTGTAAAGAAGCAACAACCCATCTGCAGTTCAAGGTAAGAACAAGAACAATCCTCATATACACTAATTTATAAACTGAAACTTCATATAAATTCAGGAGCTTTGGATGGGCATCCTCCTCCATCATGTTGCCAATGAACATGTGTGGGTCATGGGCAGATGCCAGTATGACTGCCTTCCAACAGGCTGTACAAAGACCTGGATAGATGGGGGACCAGGGCTCATGACATTCTCGCTACCACAGTGACAGACAAATGATGGCTGAAAATTGTCAGCAAATACCAGCACTTGAGGTCAATTTTGTGTGATTTATGTTATTTGTAAGTAACACCAGAGGGACAGGAGACATGATTGGTTATTTTTAATGATAGGTGGAGCAGGTGGAAAATTTGCTTTAGCTTAGCTCGTAGCCCTCTGCACCTACCTTGCCTACGTTCTCGGCGCCGTCAGCGTGCACTTCCCCCCAGCCGGGAAGAGTGAGCAGCCTCCAGTGTTCTGGAGATCTCTGGGATGAGTCGGAGATCGGTGATAAACCTGTCGGAATGTTGAGTCCAAATGTCCAGAAGCTCCTGTCTGCTGTAGGACAGCAACGTCATCCAACAACTGGAGGGTTTGCTGTTTGAATCCCCCCTATCCCTAGTCTGCCCATTGTGTCTTTGGACAAGACACTTAACCCACCTTGTTCCCAATGTGTGTCCTCCTCTAGTGTATGACTCATATGTGCGTCGCTTCAGATAAAAGCGTCTGCTAAATGACGTAACTTTGTAACTTTGAACTCAAGTGAATTGAACAGAACTAAAACAGAGTAAATAGGTTTGGATCTTAACTTGATCCAGATCTAAAGTGTCACATGGTTATTCTGGGTTTTGTTCATAAATATTCACTCTTTTGAACCAGGTATAATGGTGTTATGCTTTATTTTGATCGTAAATTTGATTCCTTATCTGTTAAAGGAGAAAAAAAAAGTGTTAACCCAAGAAAACAACCAAACTCAAAACAGGTACACACATTGAACCTTTAACTAAAATAGATACTCACAGACCAGTCTTAAAAAGTCTAGATTGGTCTGGAATAACCTAAAGAGACTAAAAAGTAAAGGTAAAGTGAATATTATACCTTTTCATGGTCTCAGTTATTATTTGTGCTGTTAACCCACACACTTAGAGCAGAACTGGTCCAGTAGCTTAAACCTCAGATACAAAGTTGACACAAATGCTACGCCTCACTTAGTACAGTCCCAATTGCCAACAACTGCTGGATCAATGGACACAAAAATGTCCTGAATGAAATTAAATCCATATTTTACCCAAAGTCATGTATCATTTCACTGAGTCAGTTATTTAAACACCAAATAAAGAAGTCAGCGTTGCTTCCTCACAGGCTTGCACAAACTTTTACAGCAAATGTGATGAAAACTGGACTAGCACTCTTTAACCAATATTGTCGAAAACAGACAAATGGAATCAATTAACTCCTCTTGGCAGTAAAACATAGAAATATCACTAAATAACAATATCATTAGTGGGAGCAATGGGAGCCAAAAACACCCACGGAGGCAGGTGGTTAGCCACAGAGATCCACAGGAGCCCCTGAGATGAGAGAGCACAATAATACCATTTCTGGGAAGATACAAAGTTGGCTCAAGGGTCTGATATAGAAACCAGGATTTGACATCTGATGAGAAAAGTTCCTATTTAATGCTTTAATTCATGAACAAAAGTATTATAAGTGAAAGGGGCTAAACCTCTGGGGTTGCATGAATGGGCATTTCTTCATTTTCCTTTTTTCATTACGATATAGTACTAATGAAAATATGACAATAAAGGAAGAACTGGATAAAAGGTCAGAGGGGCATAAAAACAGCAAAAATGACCCTTTTGGGAACGTGACAGTTCATACCAAGTTTTAGCTGTAGTGTGAAACGTTTCCCCTTTTACATGGTTAAGGAGAAAAGGATTCTTTTTGTTGAGTTTTATGGGCTGATTTTGGCTGATCCATTTAACAGCACTTTCATCTGAGGAGCCGTTTCATCTGCGGGACCTTTTCGATAATTAATTCAACTGCCTACTTAGTTCCTGTGAGACATGTTTTGTTCTGAGTCAGAGTGAAAATCAAGCTTAATTGACCTTTAAACTGATATTTAATCTTTGCCAGACTGCAGAAATAGGTGTTAGAGGAGCTCTAACCATGTTGGCAACTGTCAGTTTGAGTTGCCATAAATTACCAACACAGTCTAAAAAGCTGGCATCCACGTGCTTTGGACAATTGTTGTTGCCTTTTTCTAGACAGCCAGCTGTATAAGAGCCAATCGCTCTGTTTGTCTCCCAGTTTTAGCTTGGAACAAATCTCTTTGTCTGTGTGTTTCATCATGAAATCCAAGTCAAAGCACCTTGATCTGTTCTGACACGCCTGCTGAATTTTTCTCTACTTCAGGTGAGAGAGGATTCGAGAACTTAACCAAAATTCCACAATAACAAAGAAAAGAAGAGGGAAAAAAGTCATCTTATCTGGTAACCAAATCACAGCATCCACCCGTTGATTGAGGCACAAGTCATCAAGGACAAGCAGAAATTTCCAAGGGAGTGAAGGAATACACCAGGTTGCCTTTTTATTTGCAATTCCAGATGCCTCATTAGGGCCTGATGTCTTTCATCATTATTCTTTCATGTAATTCTGTAGCACACAGCATCTGCACACCTCACACAGTGTTTGTTATCTATGTAAATCATTTTCATCAAAACTCAAATAAACTCCCTTTAACAAAAAGAAATTGAAAATCACAAGGTGAACAGACAGCATTCGTCCAATCCTTCCGAGTTTATAACTTACAATATCAAGACATGGGAACACCAGCTGTCTTTTTCCATTTCATGACTCAAGCAAGTGTCTGCCACACATTTCCCTTATTTAGAAACCACCTTTTCAGCCCTTTGTCACCATGGGGAACACACCACAAGAGATAATCAGGACAATTTTGGGCCTGAACCCCCTTCTCTGAGAATCGTCAGTAAGGTCCCGATAGCTGATGATTCTCAAGATTATTTTGTCTGATATTCCTGGGGTGTGAGGTATGTTCAGAGTGATTTTACCCGCCCAGATCTTCTTGAAAGATGATCAGGGCTGCCCTGATTAGAAATCATAAATATTCAACATGTTCAATATTTAAGTCAGATATTTTCTCATAAAAGGGAACCCAGAGGAGAGCAAGGAACATACTCTGTGTCACAGCAGCAAACCTGATGTGATTTTTTTTTTTTCTTTTAAGGGAAAAAGATAACTACAGACTGATGCTCAAAAGATTAAAAAAAAAAAGGGATCAATGAAACCATGACACAGAAATTGTTTGAAACTTAAATGACACTGGCTTATTTGAGGTTGTAAGTCATCATCTTGTTCAATATTTACAATCAGTTTCCAATGTTTTTGTGGGGAACCTTGAAGGTCTGTCAAGAGCACAGTTGGTGACATGGCAAATGTGAAAATGAAAGAAAATTGGAATTCAATGATCCAAATTGATGACGAAAGACCTGACAAAATATAGTTAGTGAAAAATTCACAACAATGCATCAGACATAAAAATCCTTCATCTAGCACCAGACCTGATGAAGAAATAGTTTTTAGCTCCAGTAGCTCATTAGCAATTCACCTCTGAGTCGTGGGCAGAGACAGTGCTGCTCTGCACACTCCTCTTCATGCTAGCCTGCAGCCTAACATTGTGGAGTAGTATAAGTGGCAGGTAGCATAGGAGCTATTCAGCTCTCAGACACTGATGTCTTTGGGGATATGATGAAAGTTAATATCGCAATTAGCTTACTTACGAGCACTGCAATCCGCTAATCTGCTCCGCGATCATCCTCTCTACTTCCCTGGGTCTGGCCTGCACAGCGAGGCACCAGGGACGAGGCTTGTAGCTGTGACGTAGGAAATCTAACCGTGTCTGAGCCTGCTGTTTGGGTCTGCCAGAGATTCATAGTGATTTGAATGTAGAAATACTCAGAAATGAAAATTCACACTTACCTTTCTCACGGTAAGTCCTGTAGCATTGCAAAAATGACATATGAGCATGTAATCAACAAGAAAAACATGATATTCATCAGAGTGGGTCTTTAAGAAACATTTGCAACATTGTGTGTCTTTGCGCAACAGCATGTCTTCACCTCTGTTTGTGGACCTAAACAGACCTCCTGTGGACTTATTTGATCCGCTACTGTTTGTGAGATCCTGGGTAAAAGCAGAGCATCGTCTCCTCTCTTCTTGGATAACGGTTAAAAGAGGCCGAGCCAAAGTCCTTGTGGTCCATTCTTGCTTAAGGTAAGAAAAAAAATGACAATAAGACTAAAATGACTGGCTGTGATAGACCTGCTGTTCTTCAAATCAAAACACATTTCGCCATACGCTGGTTGGCTGGGGTCATATGTGAACATATGTGTTTTTATGTGTAAGAGCGCACCTGCGCGGGAGGGATGCACGGGTGTTCTATTTGGTTACAGAGCAGACTTATCCTGTGGCTTAGCAGCTGTGTGCAGCATTGTTGATAATGATGCCGTTTAATGTGCATGTATGCGTACTCATAATCCTGTATACTACATGTTATGTAAGACTTAAGCCTGACATTGGGGCACTAGTTTGGGTGGACCCCCCGATTGCGGCCGGGTATTTCGCACACTGCAAGTATGAGATACCACAGAGTTTGATTATTACCCTTTAGGTTGTTTGTTCGGAGAGATTTGATGCACAAATGGCTTACATTTTCTCACTTCCCAGCAGAGAGCTATTAAGTCAACTGCTTTCCAGTAAAAATGTTCCCATTAGCTACAACACTACTGAGGGACCTAAGATGGGATTAGGTCTTTGGAGGAGTCAATAAAATTTAATGTGAAATCACTGAATCACACTGACAAAAGCAAACTGCCAGCAAATTCATAAACACTAGTCATCGATGAGGGACACAAACACTTTTAACATGTCAGAATTATCTGATGCCATTCATTGCACACTGATAAAATATGTTGGCTGCATGTTCTCTCATTCATTTTATGGTAAATCAGGTATATAACAGTCAAATTTAGTTTTATTTATTTAGCTGAGATCATATTGGAAGTAAAAACTTTTTACCACACTATGTTTATTCCAAATAAATAAAGCACAATCTGTTGTCTAGCATAGCTCCAGAGTTATATATATATAATTATAAATATATATATGTATATATGTACACAAAATTATTCAGGGGAAAAAGAAGCTGAGCTGCGAAAGTGTTGCTGTAAACATCCATCAAAGTTAACAAAACTTTTTGGTTTCAGAGATGTTACCTCTAAAGAAACATTGTACAAAAAATCTGAGCTGTTAAATGTTTTTTTTGACAAATCAATATGTAACATCGAAGTGGGTCTCTCTCCTGTATTGCTATGCAGAGTGCACACAGGTAACCTCATTTCAAGGTTTTCACTCTGCAGAGGTGCAAACTCCCAAAGAAGCCAGACTCTACTTTTACCTGATTGTTGTTGCTACCTCTAAACTCAAAGTTTATGGAGGAATAAATAAACCTCAAGGCACATCTTGCCGTGTTTATCTGCGAAGGCCCAGCTGAATGGGGTTACAGTCTATTCCGCATTAAAAATCAGCCCGTGCTGCACTGTCTCAAAGCTTGTCGACATCACAGATCCGGGGCGCAGCCAATCTTTTAATCATTGTAGGTTCACATTCCTAAATAAATCACTAATGCATCTGCATCCAAGCAACAAGGTGCAAGGATGAAACCCAAGCAGCAGCATAAAGAGCTCAAAGCTGTGCATACAAAGTGACACAATAGTTTCAGACAGGCTCCATATGGGCCTTTGGAGCCGGTAAAATTGAAAATGAAAGCACAGATGCTGTCGCAATACATCGGGGATCACAATTCAACAAAGAGTCTTAGAACTGTCAGGATGTGGCAACAGGACTCTGACTAGTGTCGCTGCGATGAGGCACCTTCTGACAGCTTCACTTAGTGCATCATCCCTGTTTTTATGTGAGCCAAATTATCATATTTCATATGCCAGTCAAAATATGAAAAGATGGCTGTTATCTGCTGGCTAAAGCAACAGAGTGAGGAGTTTTTCACTTTCAGATATATAATCTGCTTCGTGAAGTACTTTTTGATTTAAGACTTTAATAAGTTTCAATCCATTTAGCCCTCTTAAAAGTAATCAAACTCAGCAAATGCCTCAGTATCCCTTCAACTTATCTTTTAATGGGTTTATTTTAATG